GAAATTCTGGTTTTAAAACCAGTTTTTTCCAAATTACAAATTTGCCCCTCCAAGTATTTAGATCGTACTTTCCTCGTTATAACTCCGATCTGAGCCCACTACGTGTCTACGGACTCGTTTCGACGTGCTCTTCGCACCGGTACAATCGAAATTCCCAAATTCCTTCCCGAACTTAAAATGACCTTTTTGACCCTTTTTAAATTAAATAATATTTTAAATTTTCAAAAACCTTAATTAATTCAAAACATTTTATTTTACTTCTTTTTTTTGGACCGGGATGTTACAACAACCCCATAATTCCTTTACTGCGGCCCACCTTTAGATCTAGTCATATGCAACTACTGCTGGTGCGCCACCTCCTAAAACCATCCCACCTTCTCGTCCCAAGGCTTCGATTGATGGAAGTGGTTGAACTCACTGTGGCAACCCCAAACATACTTGTGACACCTGCTTTAAGTTGAACGGTTATCCTGAATGGTGGGAGGACCTCCTCGCTCGCAAGCTCAGAGAAACTACTAGTAGTTCCAGTCGTGTTGCTCTTGTCTCTACCGAACCCCAACTAGCCTTGTTTACGTAGAACCTACTGATAGCTCCGTGCCTTCGGATGACTCAGGTAATTGCAGTTATGTATTTCATACTTCTGATCTAAGAGACACTATTGGTTGGATAATTGATTCGGGCGCCACTGATTTTATGACCTTTGACACGAATGATTTTTTGCTCACCACTCCACCCCGACGCATAAGTATTGTCAATGCAAATGGAGTTAGCTACCCTGTGACAGGGGCTGACACTATCGCCCTGTCACCTTCTCTGTCCCTTTCCAATACTCTACTCATTCCATCTTTGTCTAATAAATTAATGTATGTTAGCCAAGCAATTGAGCAACTAAATTGTTGTGCATTGATTTATCCCATTTTTTTTTTAGTACATGATATTCTCACCAAGGGGATAATTAAACGTGGTACTAAAAGAGGGGGGGTTGTACTATGTGGATGACTTCAGTATGGGACGTGCCTACAGTGTGAAGCATCCGTCTGATGACAAACACTAACAGATTTAGCTCTGGCACAGACGTTTGGGGCATCCTTCTTTTGGTTATATGAGACACTTATTACCCAAGTTATTTTATGTATTTAAGAACTCAGATTTTAAATGTGACACTTGCATTTTAGCCAAGAGTCACCGAGCATCCTATTCTTTAAGTATGATTAAAATTATTGTTCCTTTTGCTTTAATTCATTCTGATGTTTGGGGACCTTCACCTATTTCTACTCATGCCGGTATTCGTTGGTTTGTCACATTCGTCGATGATTTTACAAGGATGACATAGCTTTATTTGATGAAAAATAAGAATGAAGTGTTTTCCAATTCTTTCACAAACAGATGGAGACACAGTCAATGCTCGAATACAGATTCTTCACTCCAACAATGGTGGAGAATTTGTTAATCATGACTTTCAGACTTACTTCCAAACACATGGCATTATTCATGAGACAACTTGCCGCCAGACACCATAAAAAAATGGTGTTGCCAAACAGAAGAATCTTCATCTCCTTGAAATAGACTGTGCTCTTCTCATTGGTGGCTATGTTCCTCGTCATAACTGGGATGATGTTGTCATCACTTCCATGACACAACATCTAATTCTACTCTTTAGGGGGAGATACGGAGTGAAGAGCGCAATTGGAGCAACTTGGAAAATGAAGACATTCACCTCTGCACAGAAGTGATAGATCATTTTGGCTCTGACAATTAATTTCCCTGAGCTCTAGAGCACGAGATTGCTCTCGGCCAAGAAACGATCGATCGTCCCGAGTCTGACATGCGCGAATGCTCTCTTCCAAAAAGCGATCAATCGCCCATGCACAACAAACGATCGCCTAACCTCTGTGAAACTGTTTTTTATTTGAGTCCTACTCCTACAGACAACTCAGAACAACAAGACGAAGACCCCCCTCTCTCACTCAACAGTACCAACAGACCAATCTCCTGAGAATATGTTTAAGCTAACTACTCCTATTAGACTTGTGCCACCAAACCGTTATTCACATGATATTGGCAAGACATCCAAGTATCCAATTGCAAATCATGTATCCATTAAGAAGCTGTCTGAACCACTTAAGCCTTTTGTGCATCAGTTGTCTGCTATGCATATTCCAACCAAGGTTTCTGAAGCATTGAGAGATCCTAAGTGGGTCCAAGCTATAAAAAAGGATATAAAAGCTCTTTAAAAAAATCAGACTTGGACACTGGAGACTATACCACAAGGAAAAAGGACTGTCGGATGTAGATGGGTGTTTACTATAAAACACAATGTTGATGGATTTATCGAGCGATACAAGGCAAAACTTCTAGCAAAAGGGTACACACAAACATATGGTATAGACTATGAAGAAACCTTTGCACTAGTTGCAAAGTTGGATACCGTCAAAGTCTTATTGTCCCTTGCAGCTAATTTGGATTGGCCACTACACCAGTTTGATGTAAAGAATGCTTTCCTGCATGGCAAACTCACGAATGAGGTGTATATGGACATTCCTCCTGGAGATAATACTACTCATACTGGAACAGTATATAGGTAATGAAAGGCATTGTATGGATTGAAACAGTCACCACGCGAATGGTTTGGACAGTTCACAGTGGTAATGAAGAACAATGGTTTCAAACAGAAAAACTTAGATCATACTCTGTTCTTGAAACATCAGAAAGGAAGGTAACAACTTTAATAATCTGTGTTGATGATATGATTATTACTAGGAATGATAAACATGGAATATCTCACCTACAAGACTATTTGGCTACTGAGTTTGAGATGAAGGATCTAAGTGGACTCAAGTATTTCTTGGGGATTGAGGTGGCCTGATCACAACAAGGCATATTTCTCTCTAAAAGGAAATATGTCTTGGACTTGTTGACAGACACATGAATGCTAGATTGCAAACCTGTGGACACTCCTATTGTTCAGAATCATCATCTTGGAGAATACCCAGATCAAGTTCCAACTAACAAAGAAAGATACCAAAGGTTAGTGGGAAGATTGATCTATTTGTCACATACTCGATGAGACATTGCTTATGTGGTGAGCGTTGTCAGTCAATTTATGCATTCTCCAAGTGAAGACTATATGAATGCAATTCTTCGAATATTTAGATATTTGAAGTCTGCACCTGGAAAAGGACTTATGTTCTCAAAACATGGTCATCTGAATATTGATGGTTATTCATATGCAGATTGGGTAGGTAGTGTAATAAATAGAAAATCCACATCGGTTTACTTCACATTTGTGGGAGGTAATTTGGTGACATGGGGCAGCAAGAAACATAATGTAGTAGCTTTATCCAGTGCAGAAGCTGAGTTCATAGGCATGACTAAAGGGATTTGTGAGCACATTTGGTTAAGTTAGTTGCTTACTGAACTTGGGTATAAACCTACATCCACAATGAATCTCTTTTGTGACAACAACGCTGCTATTGCTATTGCACAGAATCAGGTTCAACATGATCGCACTAAACATGTTGAGGTGGATCGACACTTCATCACACAGAAGCTTGAGACTAAAGTGATTCAGTTTCCTTCCGTGAAATCAGAGGATCAATTGGCAGATATTTTGACAATGACAATTTCCAATAGAGCATTCCACAATTCACTGGATCAGTTAGGCATTGCCGACATTTATGCACCAACGTGTGGGGGAGTGTTGGCGTGACTTGTGGACCATTGACTTACTTTCCTTACACATCAAGAATTCCTATTATAATTGTGATTGATTTACTTTAATTCTTGATTTCCTACTATAAATAGAAATATGAATTTATTATTTACTTGGCCACTAAGGCTCCGTTATATTATAAATAGGATCTCCTACAAGGAGAGGAATACACAGAAAATTTCTATAAACAAATATTCTCTCATAATTCTCATATTTTATCATCTCATAGTTCTCATATTTTATATATGAGCCCACAAATCAGAACACTGTAGTTGACTGAAATGACTTCAATTTGCTTGTTGAAATCTTGGGCACATACGTGGATTTAATCTAACACATTCCCAGCAGATGAATCTTTAAATATCCTCTCCCTTGCCTTGGTTGCCTGCACCATTTATATTGAAAATCAATTCAATTGTTGAAGTTGTTAATTTGTGTTGAAATATGACAATAACAAAGGCACCTTGACAAAAAAGGAAAGCATTACACTACGAACCTGTTTTGGCCAATTTATGAAGGACGTTATGAGAATGAACAACAATGCCTGTACAGAAGAGCCTGTCATCATTCCGATCCAAAGCCCCATTCCCCTCAGATGTAGAAGAAAACCCAATACGACGGCAACCGGAATTCCAGCTATATAATATGCACCAAGATTTATAAAGGCCCCTATATGCTGCGACCCACATCCTCTAGCAACCCCTGTCCAAAGTAATAAATCAATGAACAGCCTTACCTTGGTTAGGTTGTAAATTGTAAGAATATCATTTGATCCTCCCTTTACTCTTGAAAATGAAGTTTTAAGATTTTTAATACCGGTTTGTTGCCAGATATCTGATATGTTATGTATTGCATGAACACCAATTTGAAAGAAAGTATTAGGAAAAAGTTCACAAGATCAATTGTCTAGATTGATGGCTTGACAACAAAACATGTAAGACTGTTAGAGACGATGTTTCCCTACACATGTTCCATGTTTAGTTGTACGTAACTTTTGCCAAACAAAGTCCAAGAGACTCGAGGTTAAGGGATGAATCCTGATCAAATACACTGACCTGAAAGTACTGCTTGTAAGCTGTCTGCGAAAAGTGAGAGGGAAAGCAGTGGAGAAAGTCGCTTGACATAATTGACAACTTCCATGTCATTACTATAAACATAACCCCACACAGAACGGCAGCAGAGGAGAATTGTGCTCACGATGACAGCTTCAGTAACTGCAAGAACCATTGCAGCCTGAACAACTACCCGAGCTACATGTGGATTATTGGCTCCTAATTCATTTGAAATTCGGTTGCTACAAAATGGCAAATGTATTTCATCAAAAAGAGTATTAGGCGTTAAATTGTTGGCACATAGACGGATTGTTTCAGGAAGAGAGATTTAGAGCAAACCTTGCAGCTGCACCAACACCATATGGTATAAAGAAGTGCAATGAAGTTGTTGTGAGGCTGCTCACAAGTTTGGGAGGTATTAGAACTACACTGACACACACATATATAATCAGCAACCATATAGAAGGAAAGATAAGAGATTACATACCAAATAGAAAGCACTGAAGTTTCAAGTTTCGAGTTTGGTAGAAGCCCAGAGAGTAAAATAAGCAGCTCAAATGACCACCATTCAAGACTACAATTATTAGCAGGAAGAGTAGATGTCAGTGCTTGATCAAGCCAAAAGCAGGAAATCACAAACAATTAAACACAAGCACAGTCTTGTATCTTGTGTTACCAAATTGTGAATAAAGACTATTGATTACGTTGATCTTTGCCTGAACATGCGCTCTAAATTCACAGTCCGACAATATAACCATTTTGCTTGACAAGAAAATGTTACCCTATACATACCTACATATTCATAACGAAAAAAGAAACAGAAAGGGAATTAATACTTACCAAACCATTACAGCAGAGGGGATGGCCAAGTCAAAAAACTTCTTAATGCTTATGAAAACATCAGTTGAGAAGTGGACACGAGTTTTCTCACATGTTGAAGAATACTTCAAGTAAGTCAAAAGGATGATTGTATTCAACCAATTGCATAAACCTGTGGACAAAGCTGCGCCAATATTTCCTAATCCCAACGGAAAGACTAGAGCCCAACATAGAGGTATGTGGAGAAGCAGAACCAAGGATGAACTTAAGAGCATTGGGAAAATCAGGCCCTGAGCTAGGAAGAATCGAACCAACGATTGAAGAACGGCGTAGGCAAATAGTGAAGGGATGAGCCAAATTGCATATCTGCCAGCTTCTTGTGCGATTAAAGGGTCTTGGCCTAACAATATTAGCAGTTTTTCCATGAATATCCAAAGGAGAGACACTGGTAAGCAAACCAAAGTGAGAGAAATTATGGCACAGTATGTGTAGGTTCCAAGCTGCTGATATTGCTTTGCTCCATATGCTTGGCCACATAAAGTTTCCAAACCTCCAACCATGTCAATTCTCAACCTGACGAAATTAACCTTAAACAGACATGCATGTATATGTTCATACTTTAATCTCAATCAACTTTCACCCTTAAATTTATTTGTCTTCTCAAGTTGGTGCTTAATCATCATGGCAGTAGTAACGGGGAGTGTATATGACCAGTTCTCCTTATTTGAGCTTTTTTGTGCTTCAGCTATTTATTTGTACATGTTTTTGGTTGATTCCATATTCATTAATTAAGAACACAACAATAACTACAACCAAAAAAGACAAACTAAAAGAATGTACAAATCAAGAAAGAAAGGTCCTAGCATCCATATAGTGTGCGTGAGTTGAGTATACTATCGCCCCAAGAAAGAAAGGTCCTAGTATCCGTATAGTGTGCATGAGTTAAGTATACTATCGCCCTTCTCAGTAGAAAATGTCCTTAAAAAACATGTACAAATCAAGAAACACTAGAGAAAGTAAATTAAGAAGAAAAAACATTACAAACTCACAAGGAGACTGAAGCCAGTGACAATGGAGAAAGAGGTGGCAATAGCAACACCAGAAAGAGAGAGTTCCCCAAGATGTCCAACCATCATCATCGAAATAACCTGCAACAGGTACTGAGACAAAGTCACCACCACCATCGGAGCCGCCATCTTCATCACCTTCTTTAGTTCTTCTACAAGGGCACTGCCCCATGTCAACTCTTTCCTCCTTTCCAACAGTGCCTCTTCCATCGATCCTCACCGACAGTAATCAAACTCTAGCTAGCTATTTAGCTACTTTAATAATTTAGGTTCGAAAAGAAAGAAGTGTAAAAAATTAGTTTCCCTTTTTAAAGAGAAAATGTGATGTTGAAAGATAAATTTTATAGAGATGAAACCTACCAAACTGAACGCATTAATGGGGGCATAAAGAGTATGAAGACAAACCATATGAATAGAGGAATTCCATTCTACCAAAATCACAATCAAACCAATTATTATATATATATGGGAAATGCTAGCAACTTTCTCTTTAACTTTTTTCTTTGGTCTTTCTCCCTTTTACTCAAGACATGTATCACTTTCCATACATTTAAAACAATTTCATCAATGCATCACACAAAGCTTTTTTTTTTTTTTAATCCAAATTAACTCTTATTAAATGTATTGTTTTTTTTTTTTTCACAACAAGCTAGTATTTAATTAACTTTCTTTCCACCTTATCAAAAAATTAATTAATTTTTTTTATATATATAGAAAGTCTGCTTTTTGTTTTTCCAAAGAATACATATTGTAATAATAAATTGTTGTCCTCGCATAGCATGAACTTCTTTTGTGATTAAAAAAAAAGGTTCTCACTCAAGGAAAAAAAAAAAACACACTTTTTTTTCAAAATTTTTTATTTATTAAATGTATTGATTTTTTTTTTACAACTTTGAACGATTCAAGTGATTTTTTTTTTTTTTTTTATAGAGATGATCTTTGAATGATTATCTAAAACATAAATAGTTTGAATTAGTGAAATACAATACGGAGTGGACTCTACAAAGGTGTCCATCAAATAAACTAAATTGAGGAATTCTTCAATGGAAGCTCTCTGAATATATATATATTTTTCAGATCTCTACCACATTACAATGCGATGAATGGTACATTTGGACTCATCAACTTTGTTGATACCAAATATCAATTAGGCCCTTCCAAAAGACTTAGGCCTAGGCTTCTCAGTCCCAAACAAGGAGAACGAAGGCCCCCCAAGGCCAAACAACGACCATAAGTACAATTGTGGACCAGCACGCTACTCTAGGTGTCTCACCCTAGGGGAGCTAGAAACAGGGCCAACATCGTATCCCACCACGGCACGATGTTCCCAAGAAGGAAGGGAACACGCTCCAGGCTCTCACCATCCATCTAGCTGAGTAGGAGCGACGCTGATGTCTGCCAGAACGAACTGATAGAAGGGGTGGAGAGGAAGGCACAACCCGTAGCTGAAGGGCTCTGCATGAAACTAACCTAACCCTCTAGCAGATTGACCATGCTAACTCATTCCTGAGGTCTTCTAAGGTGAACCGACTCATAGATACTAAAGACATTGGGTAATTATGCATGTCCTCATGAGTGATCACATTGATAAAGTTATCGATGGGCCACTTTTGGTCCGATTCACCTCTTGCCCGTGAATAGCACACTACGAACAATAGGAGATATGAGATGTGCTAGGTACTTTTGTGGTTATTGCCAAACCTTCGGTCCCCAGATCAAAGCCTTCGCTCGTCTCGTCTCTCCCTTCGACTCCTCAAAAGGAAAGAAATCCAAATCCACACTTGGAGTACTAATCTCATGTTCTCCTCGTGACATCTCCTTAACTATTCAAATACAATTGTGAGGTTGGTCATAGTAGGCTTTGATGAATCGATCGAAGACTCATTCTCACTCTCTAAATCTTCTACACAATTGTCCTCGTGACACGGTATGTCGTCCAAAGAATCTAACCCACCTCTACGACCAAACATAACTTCGCAAACTCGTGCATAAGGGACAAAAAGAACGAGTAGGAAAAACCTTCCAAGAAAAAGCAGAAGAAACAAAAATATTAGGAGCAAGAAAGGAGGGCTATGTAAGGATACTAGGCTCCCCAACACTTTCCTAGCCTACGGATTCTGAACCCCTAGATTAAAAAGGATCTTTTTTAATGAGATATTTAGTCATATGTCCATTCTTAGTACTAAAACTATAAATAAATCATACACCATTTAATTTCTAAAAACAAACCTAAAAAAAACCTAAAAATTGATGATTGGCCCTATTGAATTTAATTTTGATTATTAAATTACTTTGATGCCCTATTGAATGTTTTAGGCTTTTTTATGAGGTTTTTGAGTTGGGTTTGTTTTAAGAAATCAATGACAGTTTTGTCATTTAAAAAAAGTTAAAATCATTTTTGTTATGTTATAAATGGGCTTTGAGTATGTTTCTAAAGTCCATTTTGTACGAGATTTTTTTATAATTTGGGCTTCTATATTTGGTATAATAGTGAATCTCCCATTTTTATTTTTATTTTTGGTCTGAACCATGAGGTGGTCCTGGATGGGCCCCAACTATGGGTGGCACCTTTAAGCCTTAACCACAACCCAGACTAATCCCCACTCACACCGGGTCGGCCCGTAAGGGGTAAAGTGTTGGCCAAAGTGGTGAATCTCCCATTTTTAATTAAGGATGGGACTATACAAAGTATTAAAACAGCAAAGCAACCGCACGAACTCCCAGAACTCGAAGGACCACCTATAAAGACACGTTTTAAAAAAAAAAGATTTAGAAATTCAGATGTTATATAAATACATAAATAAATATTTTAGTCCTTTAACTCAGCCCAATTCTTTTTTTTTTTAGGTGAGACCCAAGGGTATCCACCGCCGACAGTAGTGACTAATCCCAATTCTTTGGGTTTTTGCAAACCCATTTATTTTCCCTTTAGCCCAATACGATGACCCCAATGTTTCGTCTTATATGTAAGATGAGATACATCAGCTTTCACAAAAGCCCTACGGCCAATTATTTCATTCTTCCTCTTGGCTTCTTCATTCTCTCTTATTTTGTTTCTTTCAAAAATATCTTCATGCTTTGTAAGCACTCTAGGGTGCTTATTAGTGAAGGCTATATAAGTTGGCGGTGGCAAGATTGAAGGAGGAAGTGGAAAGGCTAGGCAAGATGTGGAGAGTCTATAGGAGGAGGTGGTTGTTGGTGATGAATTTAGATTGCTCTGTAAGCAATCTATATGGCAGACTAATCCCAGCTATAAAGACGAGGTGGAAGATCTAGTAATAGGTTTTAATCGTGACTTTTTCACCTATAAATAGTTGAAGTTTGAGTAGGATTTTTCATATGAGCTTTTAGTTCACTTTACTTGTAGAAAGAAAGAGAGGGAGAGGAAGAATTCTCAAGAAGAAAAAGAAGAAAAAAATAAGTTTTGTGCTTTGGAAAAGGAAGGCTTAAGCTTACATTTAGGCTCAAGGACGTCGTTAGAGCCCGACAAATCTTAAAGAAAGAGTTAGCTAGCTTGGAAGTAAGGTAGGGGAATTTCGGGGATTAATTGCCTAGAATTATTTGAAGTAAATTTTCTTGTTATCATTGAATCTTTGCTATATCTTTTGAATTATTAGAATGTTTTTACTTATGCAAATTGAGTTACAAATATTGAATCACATGCTTTTATAAGGTTTTTTATTCTCATGAATCATTTATCATGAGTTATGGAGTAAAGGAGTCACACTTGGGTTATGAAAAAGGGAAAAAAGTTTTTGTGTAGTTAAGTATAACCATTGCAGGAACCAAGTTCAAGCGAGCTTGTGTGCACAGTAGAATAGGATATCGGTGATATAATTGTCGATTGGTGATTTGGGCTTGGAGATCAATGGTTTAGACAAGACGACTAGCAAAATGAGAATATGAAAATTGGAAGTGTTAGTTAATGTAATAGGGCATTTAGAATCATAGTGATAAAATGCATGTTATGAGACGTGCAGATTTACTTGCCCCTATTATATAGATTAACGGGTTGGGTAGAATTGAAGTTCATTCATGCATTGCATAATTTACATATTGTTACTCTCACTAATCATATAAGACATAGGACCCCTATTGAGCTTGTAGTGATCACCCCTTATTAAATTTGTTGCAAGTTTCGGATATGAGGTTTAGTTTATGACCTGGAAACAAGAAGAACGAGTTGTAGATATTTTTGGATATTTTGTTGTAGAAAAATAAGTTAAGAGAGTGTTTCTTTCCTGTTATTTTGCTTGCAAAATTACAATGTAAATTATTTTGGTTCAAATAAAAGTTTCTGTTCAATTTTCATGTTTCTTGTTACTCTAGTTTTAGTTCTAGTTTTTCTTTTACCTCACACTTCCATAAGAAGAAAAAAAAAATTTGAGTTATGACACCACCATAGGCCCTCTACGACTCAATTGTTCCCGTCGTGCATTCCTCAATGGCCCCGCGAGGCCAGTGCCCCCCGGGATAAAGACACTTCCCCAAGAAATACATGAGTCATAAAGAAAGCACTAAATAAGGGCAAGAAAATGCATGAAGAAAGTAAATATATACTGGAGGCAAGAGGATGAAGCCAACAAAGAACAATCAGAAAAACTGAACAGAGGAGTACAAGGCACAGTCTACCACGCCAAAAAAACACTCAGGACGAAAATGAAGACTTTCGGGAAACGAAGGTCTTTATTTTTACGGCCAAGAATGGAACCATCACAAACGTGGATGAAGCAGTATGGCCCTATAATGCAGGCCACATGGTTAAACAAAGGAGGCGAAGCTGGAGAGGGACGCTTCAGACACTTATGGCTCAAAAGACGCACCCCATCATCATTGTGAAAAAAACACAACTCCGCGACCAAACAAAAGGACAAAAAGGGCATCCGGAGAAGGGATGATCGACATTATCGAGCCGAAGGTGCGTGAAGGGCCCGAGCACCCCACAAATAAGGAGATTCCTTCTCGACCAAGGACTTGGGGGCTTCAAAAAAGCAGAGAAGAAAAGGAAAAGAAAGAAAAAATGAGAGGAAAGCTGAGAAAGCTCTTCAAGGCATGGGCCAACCTTACCACAACTAACGAAGTCATCGACCAGAGGGACTTCTTAAGGACTTGGGGCCTTTTGTTGATACCAAATATTAATTAGGTCCGCCTAGAAGAGCCTAAGGGACTTATGCCTAAACCATTTAAGGAAGTGACTAGACCCTAATGATTGGTAGGCTAGAACTAGCCTTCCCCTAGGTTGCCCAAGCCAAAACAAAGTAGAGAAAGGCCACCCATGCCTAAGTAGCAACCATACGATTGTTGTCCAACACGCTACCCCAGGCATCTCACCCCAAGAGACCTAAGAACGTCAAAGGCCCAGAATGCGTGTTGTTCCCGAAATGGAAGGGAACACGTGTCAAGTTCCCACCATGCATCCAATTCTAGGATGCCATGTCATCAAGAACCCATAAGTCCCACATCAGAAAAGGACAGAGAAGAGGTCATATCATCCCAATATAAAATGAGGTATCTTCTACCCAAAAGATGTAACTAAAATCCCCTCTAGAGTTAAGTACAATACTTTTCAAATCTTGTTTGAGGAAGAAAACTAGCTTAAGCATCGAGGGTGGTTGGTGGATCGATCACCACCCCTTCAGTGACCATTGCCTGTCTCCATTTCAAAGGATTGGAACCATTGTCTACCAGGCTTGACCTCCCTAAGTGCAAGAGGAAGTCGACGGAAGTGTGACCTCTAAAAATCAAGTCTACTCTTTAGGAAGGTTTGATCAGGTTTTGACGCACTCTAATTGCTGGTGTGAAAATCATGCATCAACAAACTTCAAAACTCATATCACAAAACTGCGGAGAGATTCCATAGTTGGTTACCTCAAGCTCCCTGGCTATACCTATGATGTTGATTTTTATTCTTATGGCATTAAGCTTACCTGTAAATAAGCTTTTATTTATGAATAAATATTTGGACTTAAAAATCTCTATGATGTTTATTTGTTTTAAAACATGGAAAATTTATGAGTCACAAGGGCATTTAGAAATCCTTATTATAATACACCTTTGTTATTTTCAGTATTTTAGTATAAAATTGGCCTCGTATTTAGGTACGTGACAATTGTTCTTATTATTATCTATGTCCAAGGTAAAGTGTTTGGTACTTGGATTAAATAGAAGTTGTTATGACGCTTAATAGATATGATTTTAGTTACAAGGGTACTATATGTCTATCTATATGAGTTTAAGAGGTGGTGCTGCTTCCTATGTGACTTGGGCTAATCACTAGAGAGTACTCATGAAATTGGATACAAACACAAGGCCAATCCACATACACATCGACTTTTGAAACACATATATAAAAGGTTATAAAGCTTGTGTTTGAAATATGTGTGTTTAGTTGTACAAGATTGCAAGTTCAAACTAATACTACTTAGCCATTGATGGGCATATTTTATATCATATATTTAATCCCATTCTTCGTATATTTTGGTTGATATTTTGGAAGAATTTTGATACTTTGAATTATATTTCCAATATAGGACTTTCGACTTCCTCTGGAGCAAAACATAATCAAATGGACGAATTTTGGAGTAATTCCAATTGGAGGACGTTCGTGAGTCACTTAGCTTGATCGTATCAAAATTTCGGATTTTTTGTACCAGCCATCTTGATTAACTTTGACGCATTGTCACTATAAGGTTCAAGTCCACAAGCCAACTTTGTTTGTTCGCAATATTGCTTGCTTTCAAGAACTTGCTCAAGAAAGTTTTTATAAAATGCTTTAAAACCCTAAACTTTTGTATTCTTAGAAATGTTTGTTCATTTTGAGAATGGTGGACGATTATTAGAAAGATTTTTTAAAATCCTAAATAATCATAACCCACAAAAAATTTCCCAACATTTAATTTGACTAAACTATCATGTATTAAAGAAACCATAAGAAGCAAACGTAATGAACCAACTAGCTATTGGTCTAGTGATATTTCCCTTCATTATGTTGTTAAATGTCTCATGTTCTAATCATCCATCCCTCAATAAAAAGAAAAAAGAGATGCAATGACTACAAATAGCAATAGGGAAAAGGCTACAAGCTCAAACTTCTAAAGTTATTTTCTTTTTTCCTGCAAATACCCTCGCCCTTGCCTTCTTTGCCTGCAACAGTTATACATAAGAAAGATGTTTATGCATATAAGGTTTATGTTTGTATAATCACATACGTATATAAGAATCTGGTTGGGCTTACAAACCTGGCTTTTCCAATTGGTGAAATCGGTGACGAGAGCTAGAAGAGTTGATTGCACAGCAGAGCCAACCACTATTCCAATCCAAAGGCCCTTCCCCTTTAAGTTCAAGGGAAATCCAAGAATTACACCCATCGGAAGTCCAACTACATAAAATGCCCCAAGATTCGGATACGCCTCTATATGCTGCCATCCACTTCCTCTCGCTACTCCTGATGTGGGACACTTACAAAATTAGAGATCGTATCTTTAAAATATTGTGTGTAACGGTAATATCATGTGACATAACAACGTGGTGTTACAAGTTTACACAAATTTCAGCATGTGTATGACTAGATCTAGGGTTCACCATTTACGGTTTAGGGTTTAGATAGCCTCATACACTTGTTGGCATGCCATGTGGTACTACCATCACACCGAAAAATTTCTCCACATATGTGGTCTATTCTGTTAATAATATAGTCTATTATATGGTCTGAAACTGTGTTTTATATGTAGCATTATTGGTACCCAATAGAGAAAGAGAATACAAAAGAGATAATAAATGAACCTGAGAGAACTGCTTGTAAGCTGTCCATTATTAATTACTGAGGTACAGATCAAAGGTGTCATAACTGCCACATAATCAACGATCTCCTTCTCACTGCTAAAAGCATGTCCCAAAACATATCGACATCAGAAGAGAGTCGTGCTCACAATAATTACCTCAGTAACTGAAAGAAACATTGCAGCACAAACAGCCACCCGAGCTGCTTGTGGATTGCCAGCTCCTAATTCATTTGACACCCGAATACAGGTAATTAATAGTTCACCTTTTAGTTTTATTCGAGTGATTTTAAGACACTTGTCGATTGAGAATGCTACGAACAGTCATCTACATGCGAGTAGAAGACTTTTCCAATGTGAACTCCCACATGCATCAACGGCTGAAAACGAGTCCCTCACGTTTTGTGGACGACTGTTCCAAGCACATCTCCCAATCGATTAGTATTTTGATGAGGACCTAATATTTGTAACTGCTAGTAGAGTATGATGCACTAACCGGTAGGTAATAACACTCTCTTAGCTAAGTATACATTATGCAAGAGAGAATATATGTACTTCAAAAATTAACATGTTTAGAATATATACCTTGCAGCAGCTCCAAATCCATATGATAAAGTGAAGTGCAACGTAGAGATTGTAAGGCTATATAATCACAAAGAATACAAGAGAGTTTGAGCACATTTGGCTAATCAGTTTCTCCCTCATTTCAAATTAACAGTAGTCTGTATGATCAGGTACTCAAAGTGAAATATATAATACCATATGGAAAGTACTGAAGTCTCCATCTTCGGATTCGGGAGAAAGCCGGACAGAAAAATAATTAGCTCACAGGACCACCATTTAAGACTATATTTTTGTCAAAAGAAGGCAAATTAAGATATGTGAGTAATTGGGACAAGCACGATATGTCAGCATTGGAGAATTTATCATGTATATATAAGAATTTGAAAAGATAAAAGAAGAGGAAAAATTACCAAACCATTACAGCAGAAGGGATTGCTAAGCGAAAGAACTCTCCAACGTGAAAAGAATCTTTAGAAAAAGTAAGGCGGGTTTTCTCAAAGGCTGAAGAATGCATGGCATAGAACCCTAGCAATATCACATACAACCAAGTGGATAAACTAAAGGCTATGGCTGCACCACTACTTCCAAACTTGAGCTTATATACAAGACCCCAACACGCAGTTATAAGGAAGATAGGAGCATCAGAAGGATTGAACTCTGAGACTGGAAGTAGCGAGTTAATGGTTTAAGAATTGCAGCACCAAATAGTGCAGGAATTAGCCAAACAGAGTAATTGCGGGCTTCAAGGGATATTAGGGAGTCTTGGCCAACTAAGGGCAACAATTTGTCCAAGAAAATCCAGAGGAGGCATATTGGGGGGCAAACCAAGAGAAGAGAGATCATTGCAGTGCAAGTGTAAGTTCGGAGTTTTTGATATTGTCCTGCTCCAAATGCTTGTCCACATAGGGTTTCCAATCCACCTGCCATTCCTGATTGTTTGATCCACAAATACAAATGAATTCAGCAACCTACTTTATCCAATATCCATGGTGTTTTTGTTCACCCGTTTTGATTTAATCCTGTGATGGTAGGGTATAGTTCCTCATTGGCTTGAGAACCATTGTGGTTACCTAGTCAACTTTCTTTGGTGTGCGAGCGTGCGACTGTCACCAGTTAAAAACCCTAACAGACTTATGAAAAATAGATAACTTGCGCCCCAAGTTACTGACTTTAAACAAGTGATTGTGAATTTGGGTCAGGAATATCTCCCAAGTAAGTTATTTTTCTTGCCTCAGGCTGGTGAGGACTTCACAATTTCTCACAGTAAAACTAGTAGTTCTAGCCAAAATGAATATTGAAAATAAATCAAACTATTTCAAGAAACTGTCTATTACACAACTTAAAACAAAAGGGAATTGCCATGTATGAAAGGACAACAGAATATTGGGCTTCGATTTCTGCTTGGATTGTTGCCTCTGACTCAGGCTGGATTGGATATATCTATGCTGGATTCAAACATCAGGACCTTCAATTGATGAGGTTTCAGTTGGAAATCGATATCAATGTTTAGATTGGCAGAGCTTTAATCTGTTTAAGCCATGGAGAGGCTTGTTGGATGAGCACAATTGAGATCTCTTCAGTCTGGACGGGGCTGGAAGTGGCTGGATTGATGATTGCTGACCAGGAGCTGCACTATAGTACCTATTCTGTTTGATTATGAATCATCCAAGAGCTATTCTGGCAATTCTGAGAGATCAAGGCATCTCTGTAAATTTGTTGAGGTTTTCATATTATGAAAAACCCGAGTTCTGCTTGATTTGGCTTGTGCAAAACCAAATTTGTAACGAGAGAAATCTCGTTTCCTTTGTGAATTGCTTTCCTGAATTGGATTGGATTCAGAAGTCTGAGAGTTCTGCCTGTTTTGTTTAGGAGCCGGATGAATTTTCAAACCAAGTGCCTTGATTGCTTCAGAGTCTAAAGGCTTTTGAGATTGAATGATCTTGTTTTGAATTTGTCAGTATAACTTGAGAGTTTTTGTTTTGATTGAATTTTTGGCTGTCCTAAACCCTGTTCACCTCCTCTTATATTTATAGAGAATCTGAATGAGGGTTTACTCTTTAATATCAGGAGGGCAGATCTTTTGAAAAGGATTTTCCTTTTCCAATGCAAAAGGGGGGAGTTATTAATCTGGCAAAAAGAACCATCAACAGTTAGTTTCAATGATGGTCCATTTGCTTTTCATGGCAAACAACTCTCATGTTTCTTGTTTGCTTTTTTTGAAAACACAACCTGCTCTGATGCAAAGCCCTCATGAGCATAGAAAGGAAACTTGGCCGCCCTCTTTTTCTGGCATTTTAAATGGTCATGTAGAGTGTTCTTCTTGTTAACCTGTTTTTATTAGCTCCCCATCACTTCCTCTGCCCAGTTGAAGACTTTGACTTTTTCAGAGTCACATGGGCCTTTGAGAGAAAAGATCTTCCCAAAAAATCTATTGATTTGAACTCTGGAATTGAGATCAACGGTTATGATCCAATTTTGCGTTTCTTTGGAGGGATTTAAAAGCTGGGCCTAATCCTAAAATCAATTAGAAACTGATTTGTCCAGATTAAATCATCATTTAATGGCAATTAATCTTTAATCTGTGGATTTAATCATTGCTAATTGTTTGACAAAGGTCTGGGCCTCAAAAACCATCTGGGCTGATTTCTGTCTTTAAACAAAGCCCAAACTCCTACTTTCGACATGGGCCAATAATCAATTAGGTTGGCGCCTGGAATATAGGCCCAAACAGTTTTAAGAAAGGAAAAAATAAAAATGATATAATTGTATTTGCACCCAATTTTTCACATACCAAAAAGTAATACAAATAAACAAAGAAAAAGAACCCTACAAGAAGCATATAGTTTATGAAGGAAAAGTTTGAATAAGACCTCCCCCGCAGAAGAACCCTCTTATCATTGATGATAGAAACTTTGGATATTGTTTCAATAGTAGATCATATCTTTATTGGAACAGAAAAACTGTCGTTGCGAAGCAACAGTGTTCAGGCCTCTGCTGTAGATCATATTGATGGGGTAACGTTTACTGCAGAAACTCTATATATTTAAATTTCTTTGTTTCTTTAAGGTCCATTGGATGATCTTGATATATCTCAAGCTTAAATTCATCCTTCTACAAACGCAGTAAACTAATAAGAAAATAATAAACAACAAAGAACAACAGTTGTTTCCGTTCCTCCACAGTTAGTCTACTGGAAAGAACCAAAGAAATAAAAGCATCGCACGGTTGTTTGAAGCTCTTCAGTATAGTTTATTAGAATACATTTCTTTTTTCATTGTTGGAAATTGAAATAAATAGATAAATATAACAACTTTCACCTCCAAGGATGAAAAGGCGTATATAG